GGCATGACATCGTCCTGCGTCTTCTCCCGGCCCTGCCATTGAAAAGCAGGAAGGTGTACACAGGGAACCTTTAAGTGTAATCGTAGCGTCGGGGGGTCCAACCAGGGCGTGCTGGCCCCCCCTCTGAGTGCATCCGAGCCAACCGACCAATCGAGACCTGAGACAGTGCAATACCGACCCCGCAGCCATAGTGTCGACCCGTATTGTGCGTCCCTACTTGGGGGAAAGGACCAAGCAGGTGGGAATTTCGAAACCTCACAGGGCGTAAAGGCGAGATGCCAACCCAGGAGGGAGGAAGGAGGAGTTTTAGAGTCCAGTCTGGCCGGGGACGAATCCCCAGCGCGAAAGGACGTGTTTTGCGTTACCCAAACGATGAAAGTTGAGTACCCAAGCCATATGAAGCCCCAAGAAAGTTAGGCGAGGGAAAGATCGTGAGGGGGTGTCTGGTGTTCTGGCCCCTAACCACCTTCCCGATTAGGAAGGCGAAAAGCGGGGTCAGGAAAGTAGCGGAAAGGAAGCTTGCCCCGAGTATGTAGTACAGATCCCGTACTTGTACTAGTAGATGGGAGCTTCCCGGCTTCTGGGTTATGATATCATACCGGTACCGTATGATATTAGAGACTTTGCGAACTCGCATCCAGAGTCAAATTCTAGCGATCTAATTGGCCCAGAACCCTGTTTGACCCACATCCAGAGTCTTTTCGCAAAGTCCCTACTATGATAAAATTGCCCGTGCCCTACCGTAGTCTATCCCTCCCGTGATGTCTTGGCACTAAGAAATCCCAGTCAGGGTATCAGTGTCACACGTTCGCATGCTCTGCTAATCAACGCGTCTCCCCCTCTCGGCACTTGCACCTCAAGATAGTTTTCCCCACAATCACCCTTCCCCAACCATCTCTTCCCTCACCATACAACCTACTTCTCCAGGCAGGCTAGAAGATGCCATAACTTGCACTCTCGGAAAACCTGGAGAAAAAAAATGTCGGATCTTATACGAACTCCATGGTTAGCGGGAAGTGTGCACAAGTCTTTGGCCGCATGGCTGACAAAGAAGCGGTCTGTCCAACCGCCTCGGGAATACAGCATTTCCCCTGACGGAGACCTCTTATTACAGGGCACAAAAAAGGGTGTTTTGCAGTTAACTAGAGTAAGCGCTGAAGCTTCTATACCCCTGATTGGCCCTCTCCCTCTTTGTTCCGCACCGTGTCTGACCTGTGTTTAGTTCTTAACCTATGAGGATCCTCTTACTGCACAATTGTCGGACAAATACCATTTTATCGGTTGCGAGTTTTCTCCCACTTGTAGGTCACAGTTTGAAGCGGAGCACGGAAAAGATCTCTTGAACATCAGGGGAGCTTTAATCCAATTACAGAAGTATGAAATACGATTTGTTGGCTCGGACGGATCTCTCTCTGAGAAGGGTATCACCTTTGGGGAACAGTCGGGAACTAGGGGGGCTCGCGCTAGTGGAACTCACGGGTCGTCTGCTCGGCCCTCAAAGGACCACTCTCGGCAAATACCAGTACCGGTTTTTGTCGTCCAAGGATTTGCGTTGCTTGCATCTGAGGGTGAGAGTATATGGGGAGCGCCAAAGGCCGTAGAGGCGAATTCCGGGCTCGCTACTTTGCTGGCGGAACTCCCAACAAGGGGGAGAATTCCGGTCGCGAGTGGGGGCGGCGGTAGAGAGAAGGAACTGCGCCAACCGGTGCAGCGAGTTTCGGGCACGGCTACGGGTGGTAGGGAAGTCGCCGGAGGCCGGGATGATGAGAATGACGACGATGAGGATGAAGATTCGCAGCCGTTTGCTACTCAGGCTCCGAATAGGTTTTCTTCAACTTTTGACGATTTTGACTTTGGAACCCGGTCCCAATTTCGGGCGCGAGCTCCAACCGGCTCACAGCTATCGGGTGATTCTTTGCCATCCTCGCTTCGTGTACCGTGGAAGAACTCTCGCCCTTTAAAACGTAAGGAGGTAAGCTTTGAAGTTCAACTCGAAAAGCCTGCCATCCAGCCTAAAGTTCGGCCAACGGCAAAGCTACAAGAGAGCCACAATAGCGGCATATTTGGCCATAACAGTCTGAACGGCTCGCTTGTGTTGCACCCAGGTTGGCAAGGTATGGTGGGGGTTACAAAGGAGGATTCAACTGTTCCTGAGGACCAGGAAATGGAGCTTGAAAAAGAAACGGGTAAGTGCGCTATCACCTGCCTCACGATTCGTTGGATATTAATCTTTGGTTTTTACCGCATGATTTGCTGTCGCATCTGCTAACAATTATCACAGCGTGGTATCCCCCTCAACCCGAGGTCGAAAACCCTCGTAGCTCTCGGGCCTATAATATGCCGAAGAACCAATCCACCCCGGGGAAGCATCAACCCCATCGCATTTTGCCTAGGAAACATACTGCTAGAAAGACATGTGTAACTCGGAAAAAGCGTTCTCCCGATCCGGTTGAATCAGAAGGTGTGGAGAGTAGTGTTTCTTGGCCTTCAAGCCCAGAATATCAAGATCCTAGATTTACAGGCCGCGATATTACTGGGACACCACCTCACAACAGCATGATGTTTCCCGTGCTGAATCTGGGCTCCTCAGCGACTCAAGCCCCTGGGAGAAGAGGTGGCGATTCTGTTAAAACACGAGTAGGGTCGGGGGATAGTCCCGCTCTGCCAAAGAATGGGGGCTCCCGGCGACTTGCATCGGATAAAAACTCCAACAAGCGCGGAAAGGCTTCTGGTAGTCAGGCTTTGGGCAAGGATGACTCACCTAGTTTTAGTCCTGGACCGACAAAGCGGGTAACCCGTGGCGCTAATGGTATCAGTAAGAGATTGTTGCCTGATCCTACAAACTCGGTAGTATTTTCATGGCTATTTGACACTCGCATGCTGATCCCTGTTAGGTGTTTCAACGGCCGAGGAGACGACCCAGGCTAAAAAAACCCAGTTATGACTCCGCAGACGATCTTGAGGATTCCGAAGAGGTTGGCTGTTCTGATCAGTCTAGTGGATCTCGGGCTCGGGAGTTTAGTGTTGAACCTCCTGTTCCCGTTATAGACCCTCATGGCCGCACACGAGTTGCGAAATATGGCATCTTGGGCGCGCAGCAGGTTGAACTTTGGGATAGAGATAGAAGGTTGGCCAAGCGGTCTGATGCTCGAAGCGATTCTGTCAGCGGAGATAATAGCTTTAGTGACACCTCGATTCCAGATCTGGATAATTTGGAAGATTTGGGAACTTTTAAATCTAATAGTGAGAGTGGTACGGAAGAGAGGTTCTCCAAATCAATTAACAATCATTGTCGCGAGGAGGGCTTGCGCTCTACCTCTTGCGATGTGCCCCCATCGCTAGAGTCTAACCCGCTGCAGCCACTTCTCTTGTCCGATCGTGACGGCAACACTGTTGGGGGAAAACCTGCTTGCCGCGGTCTTAAAGGGGATTCCGAATCCTTTAAACGCTTATTGGAGACGGGGCACGACGAAGAACTGGGCATGAGCGGCGATGAGAATGACGTACCCCAACAACAATCCCTGCCCCCTTCCCAGATTTCTTTTGCAATGACTTCATCTACCACGAAGCGGGAGGCTGGCCAGAAGGAGGTTGTACCGAGTCGAGAATTGCCAGCTCATCCTACCAATCCATCCTTTGATCAGAAACCGGATAAGGGGAAACATCTCTTAAGATTGGAGGAGGAGGGTGTTCTGCGAAATGGCTCCGGATCGGCTGCTGGCAAGCAGGTATCCTTGGATGCTGAGGTATGCAATCTACAGTTTAACCAACCCAAACGTGACTTGAAGGAGATGTGTTATTTGTCTCCTATACCTGCCGCCACCGTTCAGGTCAAAGAGACGTCGTACCGTGGAGAGGGTCTATCTTTCTCGGCTCGGGAACGCGCAGTGTATACGAACGATGACTCTGACCAGGAAGGCATACCTGGCACCGGAGATCCACCCAGTACCGTTCAGGTGCCAGACTCGTCGCAGGACCAGCTTTTGCGGGAAAATCAGGCGTATCGGGGAAACCTCGAAGTCCAAGTTCCCGCATCTTCCGATGGGGTCCGGATGCGGAAAGGGGGTACACCCGCAGCTCTTTCCAAGTTTGTGGAGAGGGTCCCATCTAGCAGCGATGAAATTCATGGCTCCAAGGAAGCGGATATTCCCAAAACATTGGAGAAGCATAAAAAAGCGCTTACCGACTCACCAGTGAGCACCCAATCAACAAAGCGCACAGCATCCCCTTTTACTCCTGCTCCCAAGAAAGACAAAGTGCCCAAGGCCGCGTTATCAACTTCGGTCCCCCCAGCATTGTCTGTGGAATTAACAAATCTTGAGTCCCTGCCAACTCTCAGGACTAAGGCAGCTAGTATCATTGACATTTCTTCAGACGAAGAAGTCCCGACTCCCACACCACCCAAGCCCGTCAATCTACGAGAATATCTTAGAGCAAACCGGGCCATCAGAGACGGGATGGCCGTGAACAAGGAACAGCCAAAGCCTGAAATGTATGCTGGCATTCGTTCACGTTCGCTCCACATCCCTGGCCAAGAGGGTAAAAGAGAGGCGGAAAAGCAGTCGGAAGATGAGAGGAGGAAGAAGTATTTTGGAACCAACCAAGCAAGACCTTGGAATAACCCTTGGAAACCCGTTGGGGAATTAGCCCGTCTCGAGAGAGATAGGTTGGAGAAAGAAGCGAAACTTGAGGAAGGCTCTTCCTCCAAGCCTTCGGCAAAACCAAAAGGGGCTCTGTCCGCCGAAGACTGGTTCCGCGACCCAGATACCCCTGTTAAGGTTTTCCTGAGAAAGCTTAAGGAGCTGAAACAGGTCAAGAGCGATGCTGCGGGAGTTGGCGCCATAGAGACTCAGGCCGACGAATGAAATGGAATCCTCTGCTGCCGATTCCAAGTACCCTTATCTTTTACCCCTTCGGGTGGGGGTACACAAAAAAGTTATTTTTATTTGTTTTACTAAATCTCCTATCTCGTCATTCTCCAGACAGGTATCTAGTCACGGGGTATTTCTTCATTTTTTCTTCGATACGACTGAAGGGGGATGGAGATATGAGAGGAAATGGAGGAAGGGGCTTATTTCGTGGCGTTGGGGGGATCTGTTGCTTTGCATTAGTTTTTTATTTTTTATTTCATATTATCTATCCCTGTTATACTCCTTATTCCAATTTCTCCCCGCCGATAGTGATGATGTGCTTAAGCATCTTTCTCTCGCTTTTCTCATTTTTCATTTTATTAACCTTTTACCACTTGCTGATATCGATCGTTATGGTCATGTCTATTCTGAATGAGGATATTGTGCGCGCTCTGATATCGGGGATACAGGGTTTTCTGTGAGATAATTGTAGTAGCTTCTTTACCGGCACTGAGATGGAGTTGTGCGTGTATGATACTTAGGCTACAGCTTCGGCTGTATATTTTACAAATAGGAAGGCCTGATCATGACCCCCAGCGTTAGTCCGGGAGTGGAACGTGCTGCGGACAGATCTCTGGGCCTCCTCCCAAAGTGAAGTGGAAGGTGAATTTATCCTGAGTGAAAGAAAAAAAAAACGGCTATTTCCCGAGATCTCATGTAATCACCGGTACCCGACAAGATAGGGTACCATTTGAATTTTTATGATAGCATGCTACTTTTTCCCCTTTAAGATTTCTTCGTCCACCCCACGGGTGTCTTTGATGCCGTTTCCCATGGCCATATCGCTGCACACCACGGCAACCATGCAATTCTCATAATCACGCAACCATAAGTAGAGCTGTAAGCATGTCTGTGTGTATCCGTTTCTCCTAGGTATTGTGGCGTCAGGCCCAGGTTGTCCTCGACATCCAATCTTAACCGTACAGCTATCCTAGTGGTGGGGTCGATTTAAAGTAATAGGCAAACTTAGCACATTCTGGGAGTGTAGGAATCTGGTATGGTGGCTTGAATTTTTTCTTCTTCTTCCCCTTTCTCCCTTGAATGTCATGGACTTGGGGGGCGCTATACTCCGAGTACTTGCGATACTGTATAGTGCTCGAGTTCGTATGCTGATATACTGACAGGTGATTTTTGTACATTCACGCCTTCTCACTCGGAGTTGAGCTGCGTGCGTTTTGTATTGTGGCAGTACTGCACCGTATCTCTGTCCCTTGTGCGGCTCTCTAGTTCGCTTCCGGGCGATCCGAGACATCCAATCAATTGCCAGATGATTTTTGGGCTGTTTCTTCAACATCACTTAAACTCAGGATTGGTTAGAAGAGAGAACCTATCTCAACTGGCATCACATCTATGGGAGTAGCACTGTAATAATGTGTGTGAGGGCTTCTCGATGCCTACCGGTATATTATATACCGGGATTGCTGGATTGGTTATCTCCGAACTAGTCTTACGTATCATAAATTTACTAAGGAATACCTTGTCATTGGAGGTGAGGTTATCGGGCCGGACTGCAACGCACAATTTAACAGCCTTTCAGCTGGATAGAAGAAGTATGGTCAGGGTCTCAAATGCTATACGGCTTTGGGAAAACAGACTCGCTGAATGGGATCAGGTTACAGTAAACGTTTAGCTTTTGACTATGTACCATATGATTGATCTACAATACCTAGAGTGGGCTGTGCTGCTGTGTTTCCCGCGTCTTTTCCGCACTGGGAATATTCTGAGCCAAGCGGACAACCACTGACTATTCCTCGTTGAGCACGGGGTTGTATCCTTTGCTACTGGTAAATTCTCATCAACAGCTTCTTTTCATTGTCATAGCGAATATAAAGCACTACCGGCAGATGCCATGGTCCCAGAATTTCAGTAGATTAAATAAGAATTTGTAGGCATTGTTAATATTTTTGTGCAACCACCCGTTTAGGCTAAAGAAGGGGGGGTGGGGCAGCCATCATAAGAGGGTCCTTTCAGGGCATCTAGGGGCGCTCACTCGCACGAAAGGCATAATTCGCTCTGGTATTGGAGGTGGGGATGCTGGATGCTGCAAACCCTAGCAATTGCTTTCAATAGTGGGACAGTAATCCTGTGGACTAGAGATTGAGTATGATATGATGTCCACAATCCATTGCTTATGGAAGGGTTGCGGTTTGGCGATGGGAGCTTGCCAGTAGGCTCCGCCAGCTATCACTACTGTACTGTACAAGTAACGCTCGCACTGCGCTTAGTTTAAGCAACCCATGCACGAGCTAAAATTATCAATGGTTCTGGTGCACTGGCATTGAGATCTTGTACTTAGTAAACCAGCAGAGTGTTTTCTTGCTCTCTGCTCGCCAAGGTGTCTGTCGCTACAGAAGAGGCCAGGCGATCGGCCAAACGATTCAATGGAAGTACAGTACGGTAATAGTTCAAGGAGAAATCCATTAAATGCGATGAGAAATAAATTCAATAGAGAACTGGGTTCCGCCGTGCTCGAGGGGTCGCTTGGCGCCTTTGAGGCAGCGTAACCGGGTTTTGACAGCGGGATCGGCAGTTCGAAGTCATCGTCGCGCGGGCAGTGTTGTGTACTGTGCAGTACTGTGCGAGTGCGGTAATTTACAGCAAGTATGATACTATGATACCTGTAATACAGTACAGTACAGTGTCAGTGCGGTGTGGTCAGTTGGGAAGTGGCTTGGCTTGACTAGAAATCCTAGGTAACGTGTAAGTTATTGCACGCGTCCGGCGATCGAATGTCTATTCTACGAGTATGGTAACCGTAACTTTGCTGCAGGGGTTGTAAATTTGGAGTATGTTATGACAATATTATCATAGTCTACTGAAGAGGAGAGAAAAGCTTATGTCGACGACAGACCTTGACAGAAAAGCTACGCCCCACCAAAACTTACCTATCCACTGCCGACCCCGCATCGTTTATTCTACGATACCTTTCCCATTCATTTTCGCATCTAATCAATGGCTGCCGCAGCTCGAACTCTAAGAATTGGTACCACCCCCTTCCCGTTCCTTCCGCGGATGAGATGGGTTGGCCGTTAATTTCTTCCTAGGTCTCATTCCCGGCGATGGAATCGGCAGAGAGGTCATTCCTGTAAGAGCCCCACTCACAATCCCCCCCTTCCCCCTCTTTTCCCCCCCTCATCGGGTGCTGAGAGTTTTTTCGAGATAGGCCGGCCGTCAGATCCTCGAAGCTTTACCTAGTGCTTTTAACCTCAAGTTTTCATTTGTAGACTTGGAGGCTGGGTTCGGGACTTTTCAGAAGGCTGGAAAGGCTCTGCCGGATAAGACTGTCGAGATTTTAAAGAGTGATTGCGATGGTGCGCTTTTTGGTGCTGTCAGGTATTGTGTTCCTGAAGATCTCGGATCGATCGGGTTCTGGGCTCACTCTTTCCATCCGATAGCTCACCCACCATGAAGGTTGAAGGTTACTCATCGCCAATTGTGGCGCTGAGGAAGAAGTTGGACCTATACGCCAATGTTCGCCCCGTAAAGTCTGTTAAAGGGGCAGCTATTCCCGTGGACTTGGTCATTGTGAGGGAGAATACTGAAGACCTTGTATGTTGCCATGCATTCGCCCGGTCTTCGGGGTAAACTGCTGAGATCTCCAAAGTACGTGAAAGAAGAGAAGACCTACACCGCAAAGGATGGCACCAAAGTCGCTGAGGCGATCAAGAGGATCAGCGCCAAGGCTTCGCAGCGTATCGGCAAGATCGCTTTTGAGATTGCGCTTAAGCGTGCTTCTATTCGTGGTCCGGATTCCGCGGTTTCTCCCCTCGTAACTATCACTCACAAATCCAACGTCTTGTCGCAGACGGATGGTCTGTTCCGCGAGACCGTTCGAGCGGTATTCCAGGAAAACCCGTCCTACTCCTCGGTTCGCTGCGAGGAGCAGATCGTCGACTCTATGGTCTACAAGCTTTTCCGTGAACCATCTTACTTTGACGTTGTCGTCGCGCCAAACCTTTATGGTGACATCTTGTCCGATGGTGCTGCGGCTTTGGTCGGATCCTTGGGCTTGGTGCCTTCTGCTAACGTCGGTGATGGATTTGCTATCGGAGAGCCTTGCCACGGCTCTGCTCCGGATATCATGGGCAAGGGCATCGCCAACCCCATCGCTACAATCCGTAGCGTGGGGCTGATGTTGGAATTTATGGGTGAGACCGAGGCTGCTGGAAGGATCTACAGGGCTGTCGACGGTAGTCTTGTAGAAGGAAAGTGCTTGAGCCCCGACTTGGGTGGCAAAGCTAAGACCCAAGAGGTGGTTGGGGACATCCTGAAGAGGCTGTAATACTTTTTTTTTTGTCTTCACGTGCTGCAGGGAGCGAGCCATTATGATATTTACAGAAATTTCTTGACTTCTGCCATTTAGATGTCAGCGATAAAAAGTCTAGTGGGGTTGGTCGGCGGAAGAAATTTATTGATATTAGAACACATCGCATCGTGCTATCATACAAGTATCATGCCTTACATAAAAACTACGCAATTCCTGTGTACGAGTATGATATCATCATGCCTTCCTAGTACTCGAGTATGATGGGGATCAGCCATAACCCTAACCCTGCTTACAAAAAGAATTTGCCTAGGAATTTAATTTCTGTTGCCCCGCTGCATACACGTCTTCCGGAGCCACGCCTAACAAATGTTGTCGCAAGCGGAAGAAACCTGAGAACCACTCCACGGAACCTCAACTCCTTCGGATGAGACTCCTACCAATATCTGTTCTTTTTCTTTCCTGAGACAGAAGCCTTAGCTTGACCACCCGTTTCGCGATGCCTCAGCTATCGCGGTATTATTCCGTGATTGTTCCGGTCACTATTGTCGCCGCTTCACTTCTCACCTACCAGATCTACCTATCGACTAGAACTCCTAACATCAAAAGGTTAAAACGGTCTAACGCTCGAAGGGTCTCCCGCAGAAATCCCCGCCGTTTCGGTTCGGTCAATGGCCTTGGCAGCAGCGAAGTTGGCGGGATCGATTCTGAGGGAAATGTGCTCTCGGACGAACGCTTGCGTGAGGTGTTAGACCAGGAGACCATCGATATCCCCGACTCTATGGCAGATACATTGGTTGAGGCTGCTGTAGCCGCCCGGGAGGCTCGAGGGGCTGGCGGAGGTATAGGACAGGACGATCTTAGCGAGTATAGCTACGCTCCCGAGCCTAAGGAGAACCAGAACCTACTAAACTTGCTCTATCTTATCGCGGAGGAGCAGTCGAAAAGGGATTCATACGTCCACCGAGGAGTTACTTGCAATGCTTGTAATTGCTTACCAATTAGGGGCATCAGGTATCGCTGTGCGAATTGTATCGATTTCGACCTTTGCGAGGCTTGCGAGGCCTTGGATTCACATCCGAAAACACACTTGTTCTACAAAGTCAGGATACCCGCTCCATTTCTTGGCAACCCGAGACAAGCGCAGACCCCATGGTACCCGGGGAAGACTGGTTTAATGTTACCAGGGCTCCCGGGCGACGTAATCAGGAAGTTTGGGTCCGAGACAGGGTGTAAGACGATCCAATACCTGTCTAGGATGTACACTAACTTGCATTTTTGAATAGTCGAACCACCAGAAGTTGAAGCTCTTTATGAGCAATTCAAGTGCCTCGCGGCTTCAGAATACGTTTCGGATCCTCTCAATCTCGGTGGCGCTATTTCTAGGCAAACATTTGATAAGTGCTTCGTCCCGAACACCCACGTGCGGCCTCCACCTCCCAACCTAATTTACGACCGAATGTTCGCTTTCTATGATACCAATAACGACGGGTTGATTGGTTTCGAAGAGTTTGTTCGCGGGTTGTCCACTCTTAACCACAAAAACCGTGCTGGTGAGAGGTTACGCCGAATCTTCAATGGATATGATTTGGATGGAGATGGCTATGTGGACCGTAAGGATTTCTTAAGGATGTTCCGGGCTTTCTACGCTCTATCGAAGGACCTTGTCAAGGACATGGTTGCGAGTATGGAGGACGACCATTTGGAAGCTAATCAAGCATCCAACGTACTAGTTGGTAGTCAACCAATTAGTGCTGCGTTTGCCGGAAATATTCCTCCCGGGACAAGGAGGTCTGGGAAGGGCGGCGATGACATGGAAGATGAGGAAGTAGACCGGGTCGTTCTTCCCAGTGGAGACGATAGAGTTCATGGCGCAGAGCGTTCTGAGTTTCAAACTAGGCGCGAACAGGGTGCGTGCTGCTAAACCGGCTGGTGGCAGATTATCCCTGATACTAGGGGAGCATAGTGCTGACGATACTCTTCGCTAAAGATGTACACGGTAACTCAGCAGAGTCCACATCTCTTGTGCAGTCCCGTCGCCGCGAGGAGGAGCGTCGCCGTGCCTTTTTTCTCGATTTACCCTCCTCCCCCCCGGGATCTTCAGCCTCTGCGGGCCCTAGTCACCAAATATCGGACCCGGAAAAGGATGTGGGATCAGAGATTCTTTACCAGATTACCCAGCAGGGCTTAAACGAGCTACTTGATCTGCTCTTTGCTGCAAAGGAGGAATTGGCTCTTCAGGCCAGAGAAGAGCAGGACGAAGATACCCCAGCCAAGAGGGAGATTGAAGCGAGAGGCGGAGAAGGAAAACTAGATTTTGAGGAATTCGAAAAAATTATGAAAGCGAAGCGGGGTGTGGATCTCGGCTTTGTGGGCACCTGGATCGATATGGCCAATTTTTAGGGAACCTAGCTTTTTTTATCCGGAGTTGACTGGTTATTCCTCATTTCCTTTGCATGGGCAAGGCGAACGGTCAGGTGATTTTACATGTAACTTTATGATTACTTCTTGGACGTTTGTGCATAGTGTCGTACTAGTACTGGTTGTTTTCTTCTAATCCTTTAGGGCATTTAGGCTATTGCCTTTTTCGACCCTCATTCTGTATGGCGCTGGCGGGAGATGCTGTCGTTGTGGCAACCAATATTGGCGGATATTCCAACTTGCCTTGCGATAACACCTGGTATTCGAGATTTTACCGTCCCCTCTGTAAAGGCTTTTCCATTGGCCCTTGAGGTGTATTCATGGAGAGGGACCGGTATGGTGACTCGCTTGAGGAAATGTGTCCTGCGGAATGACGAGCCAGTGTGCTTCCTAGAAGTGTCTGGGAGTCCGGTGAATGGCTCTCTGCAAGACAAACCATGACACTTTTTCCTGGACGTCAACCAATCTCGGACAGGGCAAGTAAAAAGGGGAAAAAAAAAGTCGAAACCTCTCACTTAAGTTAATAGTATTCTTCAAGCGATTATATTATTTATTATTCCCCGAATTCTTCCTGCCGAATAGATGGGGCCCATGGGCAGCAAAGCTATCCGTAAGCCCAAACCTGGATACTAGTGCAATGTATTGAAGATGGCAAGTATGATATGATATTCTACTCGTACAGTAATTTAAGCATACGGAAGCGCGTTGCCATTACACTGATGGGGACCGCGCGCTAAATTCGGGGCTATACTCCGGTAGGTCGGCACTAGTACAGGTACAGTACTCGAGTACGTGTATCTTACTCGAGTACGAGTACTACGAGTAGTCACTAAGGCTAGTGTTCCGGATTTTCATTAACCGCATCGCAGAGCTCGAACCTGTCTTCCGCTCTGATGGCCAAGTTGGTAAGGCGCGTCACTAGTACTGTACTGTACCGGACGAAGAAGCTAATGACGAGATCAACGGTTCAAATCCGTTTCAGAGCATGAATCTTTTCTGTTTTTTTTCTTTTTCTTTTTTGCCCCCTTAACATATCTTTGATTCCGTGGGGGGGATCTGCTGTCCGGGTGTTCTCGATCTGTTGAGTTGGTTGGTTGGGGTCTGTTGTGGGGTTCCATTTAGCGGGGGGGTTGTGCTTATCATAAGCTTTGGGGTATGAGAATTTACTGTAATCACGTATGGTCACTCGCTGGGAGGTAGAGCTGAGCTGTAACTATTTATTGTGTGATTGAATGGTGGGGTAACGTGGTACTATAGTATCGGTATGCCAAATTTCAGAATTGGGACTTCGTTGACCTAGGCGCTCTGCCGGTGCCGCGGGGAATCGTGGGAATGGTGGTAACTGAACTTTTGGGGCGAGTTCTTGAATGGATTTCCCGAGTTTAAGGTGCCCCCTCTCTTGGACTTCCGGGATAGTTAGGGAGGCTCCTGTAGTGCTCTTTGAGGAGCTGAGACCTACAAGGCCCGCGAGGAAGGGTGAGTGGGGAGAGAAGGAGTACATTTACCGGCGAGGGTATCATATATCCTTAACTGTGATAGTGGGAGCAGAATGTTGTGATTTGGTATTGATGTGGAGAGAGGTTTACTTTGTGTGATGCGGCAAATAGGTCGATGGCAGAGAATGGGTTGGAAGAAAAGGGGAAGGGAGAGGAAAGGGAAAGGTGAGAGAAGAGAGAAAGGGCGGATCGAACTCTGTGAACAACATAACATGAACTCTTCTCGATTGATTCCTGCTGTGTTCCCTCTCTCGTGTGCACAGTGTGCATAACTGTATATAAGTTATGTCTATAGTTATGTTTATAGTCTATCTATGAAGCTTGCATGCAGTAATAGAAGTAAAGGCAAAGCGGATGGTTGACGGGCATGGAATCATTTAGCCTAGTGTATGATACATAAGGAACAGGGGGCGGACCGAAAGCGTATTTATGGGGAGGGGAGAGGGCGTAGAGGGGCGCGGGTGGACCATGGGTGTACAAAATTGGTTCAATGGAACCCAAAACGTGCGAAAACGAGAGATGCGAGTGGGGGTCGGGCTTTATGAAGGAACCAACAAGATAATGAGATATCCTAGGACAGTGGCACAAAGGTTCGACATTGGTGGCGACTTGTTATTTACGGCTAAAGAACCGCCTGTGGCAGGCTTAATATTTTGTTTCATCGGGTTCACCAAGCTTTTTCTCCTGCTGGGGGAGTAAGTCTTGTAGGTAGAAGGAGGATTGTCGGGTCTTATCCATGCGTATTAAAACCTGCGGACCCTTTTTGAAGGGGGTTCGGAAAGCACGGACTGGTCCGGGGAGGGGAATTCGGTTGCTTCTGGGCTTGGTGTAGACCTGCGAATCAAATCTGCCCGTTCCTGCAGTAATCCCGCGATTCTCTCGTACCCACGCTTGGAAGCCAGCGAGAGCAGCGTTCTCCCGTCTTTGGTGTTGATATCGACGTCGTTCCGTTCTAGCAGTAGCCTCACAACACCCTCATGCCCATTCTCAACAGCCCATGAGAGCGGGGTCCGGCCGTCTATAGTGTCAATGGTGTTGATATCGGTGTCGCTCCGTTTAAGTAGCGCCCTCGCGATCCCTACATGCCCATTCTCAGCAGCCCAGGAGAGGGGCGTTTGGCCATATTCGGCGTCGGCTGTGTTGGGATTGACGTCGTTCCGTTCTAGCAGCATCCTCACGACTCCCTCATTCCCATTCTCGATAGCCCACAGCAGCGGCGTTCGGCCGTTTTCGGTGTCGGCTGTGTTGGGGTTAATGTCGCTCCGTTCCAGAAGCATTTTCACAATCCCCTCAT